ANATATATATATATATATATATATATATATATATATATATATATACCTGGAATATATAGATTTCGTGTTTATGATTTCGGGCAGATCCGGAAAGACAGTAGCCGAACAATAATAGAGCCAAGAGCAGTAAACGGCGACTAGTCATTTGCCGGTTGCAGTTCTAGTATGAAATAGTTACTGTTCCGAACAATAAAAGTTGCAACAGTAGAATTATCAGTGGTAATAATAGCAGCTAAGGCAAACATAAGCAGTGATAGCAATAGGCACAAATGATAAGATGACCTTGAAATGGTAGATTGTTATTTCCTTTGATCGTTTAGCAAATAGGTAAGGAATAGCATTTCGGGGAAAAGTTTTGGAAAATTTTTGGAAGTTTAAAAGAGCAATAATTCCACTGCTTTGTTCCTTTTCATTCTAAAAATTTAGATAACAAACATTCAGTAGAGCAATATATCTAAATATTTTTAAGTAAATAAAAATATAACTTGGACACAATGATAATATATACTACTTGGCTAGCAATATGCTATTTGGCCATTAATCAGATTCTACAAATAATACTTTCATGATAAAGTATACATGCAGAGCAATTCAAGCTTGTACAAAATATTTTATAATTCTATAAACAGTTTCCCATTTTAATACAAATATATCTGAATATCTGAAACTGTCTCATTGACGGTAACATAGTTTTTTAAACAACTTTACCTTCGAAACATGACTTTCCTTGACAAAAGGAAAGAAGAATTTCAAAGAACTGAAAAGCCTTATTATACTAATGAGAGAAAAGTAAGAACTTGGCTGAAGAAGAGAAAAAAAAAACTTAGAATTCGAACAAATTGGGGAATCAAGAGAGATTGGGGAATCATTGCTGAATGAATAGAATTAGGATTCGATCGGGGGAATCTTTCTCTCGATTTCTGGTAGATATACATTAACGGGAATATTGTAGCTGCATAAATTAAGGGATTGGTCTGCAAAATTTCTTCTGCTTCTAAGTAAAAACATTTTTGTTTTATGTGAAATAGTTCCATCTACTTTATTCTTCCTTGAAAATATTTTCAACCCAACTTCTAAGCTAATCATTTTTGTGAAAAAACATTTGAATTACAAAGCCAATTTTGACAACTGCTTGCAAAAGAGTACTGTAATTAATTCCATTTCAATTAAATACAAATAACAAGAGAATGCTATAAAAAAGATGAGATTGTTAAATTTTTTGCATTATTTAATGTTACATTGTTGCAAAGATTTCCATTGAGAAGGTTTTTCAAAGTTTGATGTTTTGAAAACAAAATGAAGAAGATTTATCAGAAAAAGTAGGAAATGAGTGGAGATATAATATTTGAATGAGTAAAGTTCATCTGAATACTATCAATACAACTTGTACTTGAAATAAGTTTCGCTATTGGATCATATCACTTAGCCGGTAAGTGAATCCCTGATAAACCTAAGTGATTACTCCTGCCACATCCAAAGTCATTAACAGTGGCTTAATATGGATTCATTTTATCTCATCCTCCTTCAGTTAATAATTTTTGTAATGAATGTAAGTTTGGACACTTCTAGTACGGCTTTTACCTTATCACTAACTTTTCCTTATCATTGATTACAGATGAAAAGTGAGTGGTAATTAGGAATAAACGAATATGCTAACATATCCTTTATTAGAAGACCAAAAATGGGCAAACCGTGTGAAGGGTGTGATGTTGATGTTGACGTATGATTGCTGTGGAAGATATAAACCATTGAAGAGGTCATCTGGTCGCTGAGTGGGAAAGAATGAAGGTTGACCCTCGATCTTCAATACTATGTAGAATGGTCTCTGCTTGTTCCCCTGTACAGGAGGGGACCCTCTGTCTGATCATCCCATATAATTGTCATTTCAAGTGGTCATACTACTTCCGCGCTGTTTCTTTACTCATTTATCTTTATATGTTAAGATCCTCCTCAACTTAGCTAAAACTAAAAGGACTTTCTTTCTCTTCCTCTCTGTCCCTTCCTCCCTCTCTCTTTCTCTTCACTTGTCATCTCAGTAATTTCGATAAACCAATACTGAACAGGCAAAATGAGTGAAATTCTGTGAAAATTAAAGAAATAAGAAGCAAACAAATTAAACATTTCAACACCAAACCATAAATGATTCAAAACATTTTAACAATTAAATTACTAAGTTATCAAATTATGAAATTTTAAACGAAAGACTGATGACAGTTTGGTATAGAGGAGAAGGACGAACATTCTCTTTGCATATATAATTTTGTTTCAAATAACAATCGCCACTTTCTATCAAAATGAAGTAAAGAAGCAAAGAAGAATGTTTGATGAAGAAAGTGATGGAAAGCTCTGCAGCACATTCTTTCATTAATTCTAGGCAAATACACTTTTTAAATGTATCAGCAAATGGATAATTTCCCAATTGGGAATTAAATTATATCAAGTAATTTGAAAAGAAATCATTCAGGCCATATTGTACAATTCATTACTCTTCATGCATTTCATTATTATGCAAAGTAATACAAAGGGATAATGCTAAGCAAACTTTGCTCTAATTTACTGAAATAAATTGCATCTAGACAAAAGATCAAAGATTACTCGAACTTTTTCTCTGAATTATTTTTAGAAGTAAAAGTTTAGATTCGGACACGAGACAATGCGTACGTCAAAGCACACATGTTAACTGTTCGGGCCTGACAAAAAAGAAATTTGAATATTTCTATGTTAAACGATAAAAGTGTCTGTGATATTGTTGTGCTGGCACCATTTGGGTACTATTCACAACGATGGCTTGTTTTGTTGTTTACTTGTCTATCTAAATATACGCTCAGAAATTTAAGTTTTTTCCCTTCCTCTCCTTTTTCAATTTACTATAATTGTCCTTTAAATGGAAGCAATGATATCCTTCTAGAATTACTAATACATCACGCAATTTATTGAAGCCTTAAAGCATTGATATGGCATTTGATAAAGATAACAAATATTAGTGATAGTAATACATGCTTATGTTCTTAACCAAAAAAGACAGCTATTTTTAACTTAAATTTAGTTTAATATTTGAAAAGAAAATTTGAGAAAAAAAGGATTTTAAAGGACAAACGGATGAATTTAATTGGGAAAAAGTTCCGTTTCAGTGAAGCCTTGCAGAAGCTTTGCACGACGCATCATTCAGTTGATCGCTTTTTGTCGCTTGAAGCATATTTTGACTTTTCGCATAAGTAAAGAGGATTTAGTTAAGTCCAATAGCCTGAGACTAACTTCTGCACAAAATAACATTATGGCATGTTGGCATGTTGAAAGGGTCAGGAAATAATTCGGCAAAACGATTTGTGGCGATGAAAAAAACGTAATTCTGAACAGATTCAGAAGTTGAAATTTCCAAAAGGTTTGAAAAAGTTTACAAAAATTAAGGAAGATTAATTATTACGAGTGATATTGTCTTCCAGTGATAAGTAATACTTCTATTAAATAAACGGCAAATAAGTGCTACCGTAATTCTGAAATATTTCATGAAAGAGAATCAATTTTTAGAAAAGATTGACTCGAAAAGTTCCTATCCTCTGGGATTAGAGATTTCTGAAGACAGGTAAAAGATAGAAGAAGGTAAAAATGAAAACTTTATGGATTGGTTGAATGATTTACAGGATTGTTGCCGCCTTATCTCTATTATATATAAATTTAATTGGAGAATAAACTACTTTTTTAATTTCTCGCAATAAAGGAATTAAAGAGTTTAGGAAGAGTCCAGAAATGCGAGCCAAAGTATTAGATCCCATTTCATAGACGAATTTCTGCTATAACTACAAATGAGCAATTTGTTTCTCTGAATTAGTTATATGATGAAGTTCTAAAATAATCAAGATGAAAGCCCTTTCATCTCATTCATTCCCTCCTGCGATTAAATACTATCTGACGAACAGTTTCGTAAATTATTTGAAGTTATTAAAGCATGCAAATTCGCCAGGTTTCTCTAGTATTGGAAAAAATACGATTTATATTGTGATTGATCGGGAGTGGAAAATACATGGCTATATAGTTTGTTACTGCTATGGCCTGACCGATTTCTTTTAACGGATAAATATTTGAGTATAATATTGTCTATTTGACAAATGATAGCTAAGAAATTTGCAGATTACTATTCCAAGCATTACTCTGATAAGCCTAATTTGTATGACCAGAACAATGCAGATAAGAAATTTCATGATAAGAAACGCTTTATAAGAGTCTAAATTTTTTTTATTTTTTTTTAAATACGGATAAAATCGAATGTGTTGGAAATTTTTATGCATAAAGTTATCGAACAAATATCCCTTAAATTTTGTTACTTTGAGATTTCAACTATACTTAATTTTGAAACGGACTCAGAAATTAGTCCACCGATGTGAATCCAATATCGAGAGTTGAAGATCAAGTGCATCAAATCTGGGCCAAAACTTCAATATTTTCGAATCCATAAAAGCAGCGGTCACCATTATGTGCCATCATCATCATCATCATCATTATCCATTCAGCTTATGCTATGAAAATTGTTTGAGGCGCCGCGAGGGTAGGGTAAACAACCGAATGAGAAGTGAGCTTACAGATCAAAATTGTTATAATGGACAGCTTAGAGTGGCCCTCTTCAAGTGGACGGATAGATGGACAACCTTCTCATCACTACTTTCTTCTGCTATTGTATGCATATCATAAAAAATTGAACAAACAACATAAGACAAATACAATCTGTTATCTCTCTCTTTCTCTCCCTCTCTCCATCTCTTTCTTTTTCTCTCTATGTCAAGAATGTCGTTGAATATGTTCATTTCAATCTCGCTACAGCAATAAAACTAATATTTTCTAACTTAACTTGTAGTTGTTTAAGTTCTAACAAAGACTTACAATTTGCGCTTTTCGATGGAGTCGAAGGAAAGTGTGCACAATATGGAAAATCTTTGAAGAGGTTAATGATTTGCCTATCTCACAACAAATTTGAATTCCGTTAAACAGAAATGCTTCCTCTCAATCTGCGAATAAATGAGTCACCTTTCAAGACTTCAATTCAATTTGTGTCAATGCAAAATCTGACCTTTGATCTTGTCTCAGTTTCAATACATTATTCAAGAGTTTAGTTTGATTTCGAAGCTTTCACGAAGCCATAATGAAATATTTTCGTCTTTACAATGATATGAACAGAACAAATACAGGATCGTTGAAAATGAAGAAGTGCGCTAATATAAAGTGTACTAATAAAAGGTCATTCCGATGACGCATAGTCTATTGGTCAGTTTTTTGAATATATTTTTCATGTTTTGTTAGCTATTTTACAACAAGAAAATACGCAGCCAAACGTTAGTAACTAAACGCATGCCGTTTTTATGCTTAATTATAAAACGGAGAAATTAAGTTTTTTTTCAGTAAATGATTGTAATGGGAGAAATTTAATGTAAAGGAGATAAATAAGAGTAAACTTTTGAAATTCTAAATATAAGATGAATTGTGATATTGAATTTTAAATTTGATATTGATTGATATAAAGTGAAAGAATGATAGGAATCAATGCACAAAATAGTTATAATCGTTTTCAGTGATATCATTTAGAACATCAGTTTATGCACTAAAAAACATGACAAAATGGCACTAAAGTCCCTTTGACTAACTCTCTCTCCTCTTATCGTCATCTCAGTTGACAAGGATAGACAGAAATCGTTATCACTGATTAGTTGTGTCACATCCAATATATCAGTCTTAGTGATATCTATCACAATGCATGCACGGCAACGTTTTTATTTTTCTTTTTATGTTTTCTTTATGATTAACATTGTGATTATGGGGCTGACTTATTTATGGTGCGATTTTGGAATAAGTCAATATTTGATTGTGCCTAAAATATAGAAATGATTGTAAGGGCAAACGGAAATTTGTCATAAAAATTCAAACTGAGAAAAAAATGATAACAAATCGATATGGCACAACTTATTTGAAATCCTGCAAAATGTGCGGTAGGGAAATGTGCCTATAATATTTGATACTTATTACCTTTCGAATGAAGGAATGAAAGATGATTTATTTGGAGATAATAAATTTATTGCGCACTTTTTGCAAAAATTTATTTTTCAATGAAAAAAGGCTCAAAGAATAAAAATATAAAATTCAGAGTTGTTTTATAAATTGTGTTGTTATTGAACAGCACAGAGGCCGTGAGGAAAAAGTGAATCAGACGAGGACATTTTTGTTGATTGAGGAAAAAACCTTCTATTCATTTAAATAGGGATTCCTTCCTAATTTCTGAAAAAGATGTGAAGTAATGAGCAAAAATTGCATTTGTAAAAAAGAGTTCATTAAATGATCGAAAAAGTTTCTGATTTGATGGTCTATCGTTTGACAGAAAAATGGTCGATCTGTTCGGGATCTTTTTTTTGAAAATAATTCTAAAATATCTGCAGGAATGACTTCAGGGAATGGTTTCTCCTAGTTAAAATTATTTGAATTTATAAAATGAACTGAGAGAAATAATACCATCGAAATAATCCTAAACACTTGTCATTTTTGATGATTGGAAGGGGGGGGGGAGGGGGGGAGGGAGAGAGGAGACAAATTGTCCGATAGAAATGTTTTGAAAGTTGGGGAGAAGTGAGGAGAGGTAAAGAGAAGGAAAAAATTTTGTCTCACTTTTGAAAACTGTGAAATGAAGCTAGTTAGTAGTGAAGTAATTCGATTAGACGATGAATGTGAGTACAGACATGGGCTTCTTCTGTTGAGTATGTGACCAAATCACTCAAATGAAATGAATAAAAGTTTTTGCAATGGACCGGAGAGAAGGAGAAAAAATCAATCAATTCAAATGAGACATTGAAAAGATATGTCTGCTCTCGTGATTATATAATGCATCATGAGCAAGCACTCTGTTGCTTTTTATTCCCTCTCAAATCCCGAGAGAAGATTACCCCGTGTATTAAGAAAAGCATGGAGGATTACGACTGAAGGTCTAACTATAACCAAGTGACAATTCTTTTTTGCAACTTCTAATTCTGTCGACCTCTTGAACGCCTTACTCTTCCAATGTCACAATTATTCTATGATAAGGTAAAAGTAGAGAATTATTTTCGGAATAGCGGAAAGAGCTGATATTTGTCATCATCTCATCTCCTAATATTTTCCAAATCTCTTTCAAGACTTCCATTTTTCTGAAAAACTGGTGGTTTCTTAGGGAAATGGAGAATACCAATTGGATAGTTTTTAGTAACCTTTAAAAATGATTAATGGTGGTTACTAAAAATTCAATACACTAAATGAATGCAATCCGAAAAGTTTTAAAACGATTAAATCCGAAATATGTCGGAAAGAATACTACGATTTCGATTTCTCCAAGAAATGTTTTTGATTGAAAATATCGGAAACTTGGAAAAACGGCGACAGTTTGGATCGTAAAGTGTCAGTCAATCTGCAGAACTATCTGTCTGATATAACCATTTTGAAACTTTTTCTGGCAGACTATTTGAAATGCCAGTTAATATTTGAATATATTCTTAATAAAAGAAGAAAGGAATAGCCTTCATTAAAAATGAAATAAGGGAGGGACAAGTACATAGTATTTATTTGAAGGAACCGATTTTTCACACCATTAGGCTAGCGAATGCACACCTATGGCCGAAATACAGTTCTTGGTTTTAACCTTTCCCTAAATCGATTCTCAGACAATGATCGAATATCCCTGGACTAGAAAGTGATAGGATAGCTCTGACCGCTAACAACATTCTGAAAAGATATGAATTTATTCTTCTTGGAAAGCGTCATCTCCGTTATTATAAGTAGCAATTTTTCGAAAAGTGAATTCTTAATTGTAAAATCAATAATTGGTATTTGGTGAAGAAATCTGACCTATTTACATATTAATTAAATTAGACTTTTAATTAAGCGATTATGTGACCAACGACACGCAATGATTTGAGAAGAGATGGGACCATTCAGAATGTCTTAAATATCGTTATTTCGATTCTTTTTTTATGAATATCATTAGAAGAAGTTAATACTTGCTAAAACATACATATCTGTTTGTTTACATATATTTTTAGACAAGATAAAGCTTGAAAAATGGGATGGTAATGTCTGATAAGAAGTGATTTGAACTTGCGATAATTCGAATTAAAAAGGGAAGACAGTTGTTTTGACAGGTGCTGGTGAGACAATAAAAATGAGTAGCCTGTGGTGATAATTGGGGGCGCAATAAGTAAATGACGAATCGTCTATCCTAATGGTCATCTACAGAGGCCATGGCGAGGCGTAAATAATGCTATAAATTACCTCAAAGGCAGCGCGAACAATGATGTCTCTATATGTATGTATATATGCATGTATGTATGTATGTATATATGTATGTGTGCATGTATGTATGTATACATGTATGTATGTGTGTCTGTCTAAATATGTATATGTGCGTATGTATATATGTATGTGTGTATATGTAAATATGAAAGACATGATGGAAAGTAGCAATGTATGAGTCTGTGTAATTGTTTCCGGATATACCGGACACCGGGAATGTGGGCTCTCCTGTTGGCTGAGGAATTGCATGAAAGTTCTAGATGGTTTAATTATGCTTAATATTTAATTTTGAATAAACAGATTCTGCCAGGAAGTGAGGGATGACGCGTCCGAGGTGTAATACGTCATTCAAACTCCCTCATTGAGGGTACTCACCTGTTCAAGTCTTTCATTTTTCAATAAAATTTAAATAATCTTGCTGACCATAAGGGTCGTGAAACAGAGTAACAATAAGGTGTGATCAAAAAATTCATTTATTACGGTATATTTTACGGTAAAGCAGCGTAATCGTATGCCTCGGTAGAGTATTACAACATTCTTCAGGTAAAAAGTTGGAATTTCACCGGTATTTCCTCAGTTTGCTGAATGCTTTCAGTGACATGCCTTATCGTACCACTCATTTGAATTTATGACTTAGTAATTCGGATGGGTTTCGTTTAAAAATATTCTCGATAGTTTAAATGTAAGCGAAATTCCACTCGTACAAATGATTAATTTACAGCTGCAATCAAAAGAAATCAATGGCCACAGGATAAAAATCCAAATAGCATGACCATAGCGTGTCCAGTACTTTGCATGGAAGTATTAATTAAGTGGACAGTGGTCATTCGAGGAGTTTCAACGCAATGTCTCTCCTACCCCTCTTAACTTTCTCCAGTAATTTTCGTAGTAGGAAAAAAGTAGTGGGATAAAACGAGCCGCGTTTTACTCTTCACCTTCAGCCCTGTGTAAACATTTGGTATTAAAAAATATTTCAAGTGTGCAAAATAAAGTCAAATGATTCATTTTACTTTTCTTTGCAGGCGATAATGAGATCGAAATAGCCATTCAGGTACTGACCAATCTAAATGGAATTTTTATTCGTTGAACAGAAAGATGAAATTTTCAGATTTTTAATAAAGTAATTTGAAAATAAATGAATTTTGTAGATTGGAGATTGTGAGGAAATAGTCTCAAATTGAGACCGTAAATTAAACAGGCATTGATCGGATGTATGTGGAGAGCTATAAGAATTTTGTGGATATTCTTTCCAAGTCTGTCCTAAATATTCTTCACTGCTTGTTTGTTTCAGATTGAAACTTGAATTATTCATGTTAAACTTTGGGAATTTAGCTCATTTGATTAGTGTGCTGCCTGTTCGTAGAGAAAGCATTCAGCAAATTAAGATAGAAAAAAATTGTTCCAGAGTTCGGGAATGTATGTTTCGCGGATAGTGGAACAGGCTGGCACTATCCAAATAGAATTTTTAATGTGCGAAATCTGTATGTGTTATTTCATATTGTAAAGCTGGCGGTGGAATGCACCGAAAAATGCTTCTGCTAGCTCAGGGCATGCATGTATCAGCCTGCCAAAACGGCTTTTGGATAGTAGATTGAGAGATTTGTTCCAAGAAGAGACATTTTCTTACATTAATTTCAAAAGTGACAGGATTAAAGTGATCGTGAGTCAGCCTTGCTCAAATGTCTATATCTTAGCTATTGTCTCAGGACGGGACTTTTAATGCTACTATTAAGTCACACGATAAAAAGTGAAAGAATGAAGTCAAAAACATCGATGGTTTCGAAAGACAGTCGGGAAAAGTAAAATTAAAATAGAGCAGAAATTTAAATTCTTAGTTTTCCTTTTGACCCTTAGACAACCTTTGATACTTATCAATTAACATATCACCACTTTATCTTATTCTGTTGCTCTTTAAGGCAGAAGAGCCAAGGATAAGTTTTTCTAATTACGAGTAATTAATTCTGCACTCATAGTGGAAGGTAAAATTAAATAAATCAAAGAGACCGGTATATAACTGCTGAAACACCTGGTGATCGTTCAAAAATTAAACAGTAGGTTCGATCAGAATACTCAGCTATATTTTCATTTAGGTGTAACTCAGGCAATCTTAATGACTTGTGTGCATAGAGCCAGTCTATAATATTTGATTATAATTAGGTGAGATTGATAAAGCACACGCTAAGACTTACTATTTGTAGTATTCTACTTATAATATGAAAACAAATTAACAGTAAACAAAGTAAACTATTAGCTATGTGCATCTATAACATGATATTAATAATATGGGATGGAAGTGTACAGATAAGTGGTATGAAAAGGTAAGAAACAAGAAGAGAGTACTCGTCAAACATTCAACTTATCCGCTGATAACAACATGCAATTCAAGCAGGTAACAGCAAGATGCATTCCTTGCGAAATATTCTCACCGCTTTTTCTACCAGATCTTCTGTCATCATTACCATTCTTATTGATGGTTATGATTCACTTTCAGAATTTGATTCTTTGGGGCCTAAAAAAATCAAGCAAGTGCGTAACGATCGTATCGTTGGTGACGATAACAAATGGCATTCAAAGAATGTATTGCATGTGATTATTATCTTTTCCCCAGTTCCGCATCTTTTTTTTTGCTTATCAATCATACTTTATTCAGAAAAATGATTGTATTCAGAAGTCATCTACAAATTGCTTTCAATTTCATTTCTCTTTACCTTTCCATGAAATTCCCTTTTCCTTTGCAACAGCATAATAAATGTCGTACATTAATGGTATTATGATAACAACTATGGTCACAATATCAAGCCGTAACTAATCCTAATATCTCCCTTAGTTCAACTCTCTCTCCTGAGGCATCTGGTAACAACAAAAACATGTGAGGATTTAATAAAAGTTTACATTATTCGATTTTCTATCCCATAAGTGATAAGTAGTCACTTACCTTGGCTATTTTGGCTATTTTTGCCACATTTTGGCCACTTGGCTATTTCGGGCTCACTACATGAATGTGTTCATCTAACAGCGAATTCCTTATTACTATACACTTTTAAATAGCGTTTCCAACAGTAAATGCTTAGGCTTCTAAACTGGAAACTAATGTTAAAGGACAGGATAGAAAGAGCTATAAAATTAACCATGAAATCATTTCTTTTGAAGTGTAACGAAACTTGAAGCCAGAAAAAGGGGTGATTCAAATTATTTCTCTTTGTTTCTTCATATTGGTATTTGATTAGTTACTTTACTACCCATGTATTTACTTCAAAAAAAACGGTCGAGAAGGCACGGAATTTGATCCTTTGACATTCATATATCAATAAAAATTGACAGCTCATGGGTACCACGGTGATGAGTTTTTGAGACATTGTTACTGTAGAACATACACAATGTTAGATACGTTAACTGTGCATTATTCAGGCGAAAACGGAAATCTTCCATGTTTCACTAGATCTGTATTAATCCATGGACAGATATGGTTGATGCACTGTTCATATGCTGTACAAAATAAAACTGAAAATCTGACCAATTATAAACGGAAGAAATTTGTGTAACAAATAGTATTTTAAAGTAATAAGGATAGCTTATCATTTTTTCGTTTTTAGCTGGTATCTTGCTAAATGACATGGAATCCATAGAGAACTAAAGCATAAGTACTCAATGAAGTGGCAAACAGAACAGGCTTGTGATATCCCTGCCTAAAATATCAATTATTTTAATAAATAGAAAACAGACTGATATGATGCAGATGGGGGAAATTTGAATTTTAAATGATATTGAGGCCGAAACATTCAATAACCTCAAAATTGGAAACTGAAAACATGAATATCACTTCATCATCTTCAAATAACTGTCGCCCATTCAACAATTACCGGATTACTAACGCGCAAAAGTTGTTGTCTACTACATTGTGATTTTTATCTGGGTCGTCTTCGATCCAAATACTAACCAGGCCCAGTGTTGCTTAAGGTACTGTGCCTTCAAAGTGTCATGGTAGAAGACATAATCAAACATGTAAACATGCACTAAATTTTCACCAGTGCTTTTTCATAAAATATGTTTATCAATAAAGTCATCAGGTAACTTCGAACATTGCACATTTCAAGCTTATCACAATCATATAAAAAGATTCTAACCGCAACAGATTAAGAAACTTCCAGAACTAACAAATATCCATGGATAAGTTGGGTCAGAAATATATTTCAACTTCGAAA